AATTAAAATAAATAAAATTTGTTAATAAATTAAAAAAAAAACAATTAATTAATTAAATATAATTTAATTTTTTTAAGAAATAAGAAAATACTTAGATAAATAAAAAATTTTTAAAAAATTTTATTTTATTTTTCATTAAAAAGTACAGTATATATATTCTCATTTATTTTTATTTAAGTTATTAAAAATAAATATAAAAAAATCAAGATATAATTTTTAAAATATTTTTAAAGCTATTTTAATAAAATACAAAGGTCTAATTAATAAATTCTATAACACTTTGTATGTAGTATTTAAAAATTTAATTAAAAAAATTTTTTTTGCTTAATATAATTATAAATATTATTTTATTTTTTTGTAATTTTATTTAATTTTTAAATCATTGTTTTAAAATTCAAATTACAAGATTGCAATTGATCTTTTAACTTTTAAAAAATTTTTAAAATTTAAAATTTTATAGTATTTTAATAAATTTTCAATTATTTTAGAACTAAATGAAATTTTTTCAAAATCGAGTGTCCCTTTACTGTCTTTATTTATTTGGAAAAATAAAGTTAAGATAATTTTTGCTATTAAATTATATTATGAAAATAATGATACATACTATATTTTAATTTACTCCTTAATTGAAGTTTTTTTTTTTTTTTTTGAATTAAGTTTGAATATAATGAGTCGCACAATTTAAAAATCGCATAAAATCGGCCGATTTTGATCGCCGAATCAGAGCGTATTGTGTAGAACCATATACAGTATGTTGTTGTAGACTCGGCTGCACAAGCTGACACTTTATCCGGCGCTGTACGACGCATTATGTTAGATGCTATATTTAGGTATGTAATATAATAATTGTTTTTAAATAAATTTGAAACGGTTCCTCAAGGCTCCAAGAAGGGGCAGGGCAGATTATACCAGTTCGCGTCATTTTACGTTCTTAACAATATTTCGCTGCTCCTGGGTATCAGAATCATAGAAAGACAATCGTCGTATTCTTGACTGGTCCATAAAAAATTATATCGCACGAACCACAAGCGACATGGTCGAGCAACAGTAAAAAAAGTTCGTCGGAGAACGGATTTAATGCATGCAGTCGGAATAACCATTGCTTCTTTTCATAGACCATGAAAAAGGGGGAGAGGTTGCACGTGTGGCTCATTGCGCAGCGTCAGACTTAACATACAGTATGTCTGCATGCTTCATTGTAATAAAGTGTGATCAATTGGTTGACAATCAATTAGCATCACTACCCATCAGGATGAAAGAAAATTTAACAGATAACTGGAGAAATATAGTTTTAACAAAGGTATGTTTATTGTCATATTCATTTTTACAAAGATTTTACTAAATATTTACAAAAAAAAAGAAGTTCATAAATTTATCCTTAGAAAACATAATTTTTTGTGTGTTGAGAAGAAGCAATGATTAATGGATTGCGAAAATAACTTAATGTAAGGATGATGTTTTATGGTTGATCCATGCGTTCATCAATATCACCGTAAGTGATGCAACACGGATCCGTCCCGCTAAAAATCTCGACCTTCTCAATATCTGAATATGGTGCATCGTAATAACCGAACGATCCAAATAGTGTTCATTATACCAACGTCTCCGACGTTTGGTTGTTTTCCACTTTAATTCAATAGATTTTCAAACGCCTTAATTAATTTGTAATGAATTTTTAAATTCCTCCCATATTCTGTCATTTTCCTCCTGGGAATCTAACAAAAATGGCCTGGTGTCAAAGGGTGCCGAGAAATATTTTTTGCGGTTAAGTTTCTTTCTATGAAGCTTGGAATTTATTGGTTCAAGTTTGAAAGGCTTATCCGAGCTCGATTTTTTCTTTCCTCTCTTAGTTTCCAGGGAGAATGCGTCAGTGATACTAACTTCCAAAATTTCCAAAGACTTGTTTAAATCCCTATGATACTCTTCATATTTTCCCATCATATAATAGGTTTTCCCGCGAATTTTCAACGTGTCGGCATTATTTGGTTCGATCTCCAAGGACTTATTTAAGTCAGTAAGTGATTCTTCATATCTTCCCATCCTTTGATAAGTTTCGCCACGAGCTCTTAGAATTTTAGGATTTTCGGGCTCGAGTAGTAATGATTTATCTAGTGAATTAAGTTTAAAATTGGCCTTTTGAGAACCAGATAAATTCCTAAGCAAAAAGTTCATCTTCAAGACGAATGAAAATCTTTTGATTTTCCGCGTAGTTACATTGCCGTATATAAGTGATTTTTACATACTAAATTCTGATACATGAAACCCGAAACAGTTTTAGGTACCTAAATACACCATTAGAAATTGTGTTTAAAGTTTTAATTTTCTGTCGATATGCATGTCAATCTTAAAATTTGTTACACAATAATCACATAATAGCGATAAACAATAATGCTAAATTGATAAGCGAGGTTTCATCACCGAATATGGGTCCAATAGGGGGAAAAGTCCTTGTATTTCGTATCCGAGTAGTGGAAGATCGTTTAATAAACAAGCGTAAGGGTAAATGTTTTTTTTAAGTAAGTCGACTAAGTCTTCTGGACTCTAGGATTGTGGCTTCTGAATTAGTAATACTAAAATTCAAATCATTATTGTTTCAGGTTATGGACCTGAAAATTTAGTTTAGCATTCAAAAAGAATCACCATATTGGGCCCGAATGGTAGCCCCAGTAATAGAAAGACCGGTTCTTTCTGGAGGTGTTTATGGTTTGTTTTGCCAATGATAAGGTAATACAACAGGTTGACCGTAACGCCAAGATGTCTTCTGATATATACAGATGTTGATGCCTATCCTTCGAGAATAGGTCGAGATTGATAAATTCAATTCCCTTCTACTAACCTCATAATAAAATATGCCTAGTCTGTTATATAAGTGTCTCTTTGATTTATAATAATGATATTATTATTTCTTTCAGGGAAAAGTTTTCTACTGTAGCCATTTGCATATATGATGATTAATTTTCTCCTTTGATATCGGGAATTCCGTCTGTGATCAAACCATTGCTGTAAATCTAAAAGTCGACCCACATTTCCATACATATCATAAAAATATATTTAACAATACTATGCATTTCAAAAATATTATTCAATATATACAGTATATATATAATAAAATCAAAGTCTATCAAATAACGTTTCTAAACGAGTGCCCCATAAATGCTTTCTTCATTTGAGCACAATTTTAACAATTTTATTAAGTCGAGCCAATGAACTCAATGTTCGCATGTGCTATAAGAGCTTTAAATATCATCATGCGAATGCACTCCCGAAAAGAAGTTTCACGTGACACTTGCCGCAATGATAAATAATGGCGTCGCGGAATCTATGCTTGATTGAATAGACACTAGCTACTATTGATTTCTTTCCTTTTTTTTTTTTTTTTTTTTTTTTTTTTTGAAACGGGAGCCTTGACCCACTTATTAGAGAAAAAGGCTTATTGTTTGCGTGTACAATACAAATTCACATTGCAAATTCAAACCAACCATTCTAAATTCGATGAGCGATTGGGATAACCGGACGAGTAATCCGTCGAAAAAACATCTACTTATTGTTTTTTTTTTGGTTATTTTTTCTATTTTAAACTTTTTTTTTTTTTAAGTAATAATAGTTTGTGTGGCCACAAATAAATATGTTTCATAAAACAGAATATCAAAATTTCGCTATATTTAAAAAGATAATGTTTTCTGCTTTTAACGTTCAATAATTATATTTTATATCTCCTAAAAACAATCATTAACTACCTTGTCTATATTATCTCAAACAAATAATATTTATTAAAATCAAATTACGTTAGCTTGAAAAATTAAAGCCTAATGAAATTTATATTTATTATTACAAACTCATTTACGAGTTTTAAATAATATCTTAATATTTTAAAACTTGCAACTCGGATATTTTGAATAGACTATTAGTAGTTATAAACTATACCAAAATAATTAATTCTATAGCAAAATTATTATCAAACCTATTATTTAATAGGAAACACAATAAAAAAAAATTTTTTTTGTTAATTATTTAACTATCAAAAAAGATATTCACATAAAAGTCTTTGACTTTTTGACTAAAAAGTTTAAAGTTTTAATACTATTTTTAAAACAACTTGAAAGTATCTTCAAAAGTTATTATTATCTTTACCTTTTATTTATAATTTTTTCAATCAAAAACTTGACTTCTATTAATCAAAGAAAAGTCAAATGATACCTTTACCTTTATTACTATTGATAAAAAATTCTTAAAAAATAAATAATTAATTAATTATAAAATATTTAAGAATCTTTTTATATCTTTGAAATGAGTTATTGTAGGTATCTATAATAATAAAGAAACTTATTTTCTTATTTATTTATTTTTATTTTTATTATTATTATTATTTTTATATTCACAATCATGACATTATAACATGTCTTAATTAATAAAAGCATATGATCTTGCCAAGTATTTGAGAAAATAGGATTTAATAAAAGTAAGTTTGAAGTGATGAAGAAATTTTAAACAAACCCATTTCAGATCAACAATATTGTTGCCCTTTGAGAGACCCTAGGGGTGAATAAAGTTTGTCAAAATTTAATTATATGATAAGTTTAATAATTGAATTCACAAGTTTGCCAAACTTTTAATGTAATTGTAATTCTAATCAATATTAGATTATAATTTTAGTAAAATTAAGATTTATAATTCTGGCTAATATTAAATTCTTAATCAGGCAGACATTATATCATAGTTCTAAATAGCATTAAACTATAATTTCAGTAGAATTAAGATTTATAATTTTAGTTGACATTATAATTTTTTTGTAATAATCACATTTTATTTTACAATATCACAGTGATGATCATATTACCTAAAATAAAGATTATCTAAATTTAACATATTGAAGCAAAAATATTTGATATCAAATTTAGCAAAAAATTTTATATGTTACAAAAAAAAAAAAAATTAATAAAAAATTTATATATCATAATAAAAAAATTTTTATATAAAATTTATCAAAAAATTATAAATTTAATATATTGTAACAAAATATATTTATATGATTAATTTTAAAACTTATATTAAAATTTGATAAAAGTTAATAATTTTTAACAAAATTTATTATTGATTATAAAATTACTTAATTAAACTATTAAATTTTTTTTTGCCTATTTTATTTATTTATTTATTTATTTTTCTTTTTTTAAAAATTTTTTTAATTTAACTTTTTTAAAATTTATTTCATTGATTTTTATTTTATTAAATTTTGTTTAAATCTTTTTATTTGTTTTTTTTTTTTTGAACTTTTTAATTATTTTCTAATTTTTATTCATTTGTATATTTCTTTAATTTAATATTTTTTGTATTCTAAATATATTAATAATTTTTTATTTTTTTAAATTTAACTATTAATTCTTTATTTTTTTTATCTTTTTTTTTTTTATTCTTTATATTTTAAAATTTTTTCTAAACTATATATTTAATTTAGTAGACCTTCTAATATTTTTTTTTTTTTTTTATAATCTGTGGTCAGGCCAGCATTATATATTTATTAATCAATATGAAAACTGATAAAGATACATAGGGCAATTGCATCAGGACTAAACTAAAAACTTGTACTGATATACTTATCAATGGCTTTCAATTCTCAAATGAGCTTCAGTCTCTAAGTGCAACCTTAGGAACAATATTTTGCTCTGAAATAAGTTTTGGGTGAAGACCCTCTTAACTTATCCATCATTGTCAGCAGGTTGTCACTGCTTATTATCCTCCAAGGAACTGATTTTGAGAAACTACAAAGGGAAAGGAAAAAAGAAAAGGAAAGAAAATATTTAAAAATACACAATTGTGCTACTTGAAAATGAAAAAAGAAAAAGAAAAATAAAAGTACTCCATATCCTCTAAAGAACCTCTGTTAGAAACCTCTTCTCATTAGAAATTAATCCTTCTGAGATATTCTTCTTCTTCCTGACCGTCTGAGGAACTTATCCATTCATACTCTTGATTATTTTCTTGTGACTGTTTGAGGTACTTATCGCCTATTCAGATCCAGTGTCTTGCTTAATGCTTTCTTTCTTTCAGTTTTAATTTTATATTTACTCGCGCAGAACTGAATGGCTAATAGTGGACCCCCAGGTTATTATATGGCTTTTTAGTCTTGTTGTGTAACTCCCAATATCTTTCAGCAGTCATGTCTAATTAAAGAAATTTTATTGATGTATATTTTTTATTATCCAAAAAGTCAGATTCCTCAACAATCTTTTTGCCTTGCAATAGTGGAAGGGTCTCAAATAGTATGGGGATCCTCGTTGATTATGATATCATTGTACAACATTTGAAAAAATGTATTCTCAATCCTAGAGAAAAGCAATGCTTTACATTCCTCTGCTTTTCAGTCTTACAGCTTGACCGGAATAAGAAAATAACCCCCTTTGCATACTTTACCTGACCAGGATGATAAAAAATTGAAGGCCTCGGCTTGAACAAATAACTACCTTTTCACCACCTAGGGAATTTAGTGCCTATCCTAATAGCCTCATGATTTCTTTGCTTCAGTTAAACTTCATTTGGAGGAGTGAAGAAGTTCATATCCTTAATTTCTTTTTCAATTATCAATGATATTATCGAAACATGTGAGGTGACCAATAGAAGCTTGTTTACATTCAGCTACTAATATATTTTGTATCAACCAATCAGATGCCAGGTGATGTTGTGCTATCAAAAATTTAGGATCAAACTGAAGTAGGCAAAATCCTCCAAGAAAATCATGAAAACCAGTAAGCATTTTAAAAGGGTATAAGACAATATGTAATAAGGTGAAAAATAAGCCTTCCCTTATCAACAGAATCTTTATTTTTTTTCACTTCCAGCTCTGTGAGGTGATACTCCACTTGTCAGTCCTTTTACTTCCTAGAACCTTTTTGCCTTTAGTAGAGAAAGTATGTACTTGAGTCTTTTCAGGCCACTAAAGGCTCAAGTTTTTATTCAAAAAAGTTTACAAACAAATAAAGGGAAGTAGAAGAGATAGATAAAGATAAGCTTCAAGTTGTTTTAATAAAAGTATAAAGACTTTATTAGCAAGAAAGTATAAAACTTCTTGTGAATATCTTTTTTGTGTGTGATCAAAGAATTAGTGAAAAGAGTTAGTAGACCTTCTAATAATATTATATTATAATAATATAAATTATTATAATATTATTTATAAA